TACTGCCCAACTAAAAAGTTAAAAGGAGAAGGGATCAAATCGAAAAACAAGAAATTGTTTTCAAAATAAGAAACTGAAAAAGCCTATGCTATCGGACGCTTCCAAAGAAAAATCCCATGCTGCCCAAAATGTAAAGAATTTTTTTAAAACAAAAGAACATATATACTATTCATAATTTGTAGTGAACGAAGTGCTGGATTGAGGATGAAGTTTTTTTTTTTTTGGCCGAAGATTGAGGATGAAGTTGGCAACTATCATTATTAATATAAATTAAAATGTGCACACTTAGTAAAAATTTGTGGTCTTCATAATTTATACTATTTATGTTGTTCTATCTAAAAGTTTTAGCCATGATTATTTTTATCAATAAAAAAATGTAAAAAATACTTATCGTATTGAAATTCTAATTTTTTTGGGAAAATCTCATAAAAAATTTTGAAATTATTAAATCCCAAATAAATGTTTTTTTACAAAAATGTAAAGTTATTAGCAAATCAATTATTGTCAAAGCCCATCAAAGTATTAATACCAAATCTGATTTGAGATATAATAATTCCAGATTTCTTTCTATGTCATTTTCCCTACTTTTTTTAAAAATAAAATATTTGGGGAATATAAATATAAATTATTAAAATTATAAAAATAAGGTTATTAATGTGCTCCTGTTTGTGAACTGGAGAACACAAAGCGGCTGCTTCAAGTCTTCCAGTGACCACCGCGTGCAGGCCCCATGTCACCACACCTACTTCTTGGAAGGTGAGACTGTTTAGACTTTACTGCTTTCTTTGTTTCTTCCTTTTCGTCTATTTCTTTTTTTGCCAACCCCTTTTCTTTTATTTCTCTTCATTAACACTCTCGTTCGTCCATATTATAAGAATTTTTTCAAAAATATTTTTATTCATTTTATAAAACTTTTTATAGTTTCAACCCATTGAGAACGAGTTGTAGACCTCATGGTCCCCGTCAATATGGGCTAAATGAGCAAGTTGATTAGTATACTCCCACTGTTCCATTCATAGAGCATAAAGAGAATACTATTACTATAAGCTGCATATATTTAGGACCTATTTATTATTAATAATAAATTTATTAAATTCAATTATTGAATGATAGGAGTTTTTTTTTAAATAAAAATTTTCTAAATACTTATTAGGAACGATAAACTTATCAATTTTACTATCGTATTTTACAAATTGGTTAGAAGGTTATTATATGGGACAGAAGGAAATATTACCTAAAGTCAAACACCTTAAATTTAATAATAAAAGTTATAAATAAGTAAAAACATCACGGTATATATGAATAGGGTTGCTCAGCTTATACTCTGCTGGTTAGGTCGTTCCGATCTCGACTATTTTGAGATGGGATAGACCCATCCCAAATAGGACCATGACGGGATTCATAGATGTGGATATCGGACCTATGAATGGGGATACTCCCGAAACTCACAAAGAAAAAAGAAAGTGAGTTAGACAAAAAGAGAAGTAACTTGGACAAAAAGAAATGATCTAGTATGGATCGTACATGGACGGTAGTTGAAGTTGGTGGCTCCCCTAGGGTTTTCTCATCTAGGATCCCTGGGGAAGAGGATCAAGTGGGCCCTTGCGAACAGCTTGATGCACTATCTCCCTTCAACCCTTTGAGCGAAATGCGGCAAAAGGAAAGAAAATCCATGGATCGACCCCATCGTCTCCACCCCGTAGGAACTACGAGATCACCCCAAGGACGCCGATTTAGAAAAAAAAAAGTTTCTTTTTCTTTCGTATACTTATAGTTATTATCATAAATTCTTTTATTTTTATAATTTCTGCGATTACACGGATTATACCTGTTTGCACAAATACCTCCACGATTCCCGCTCGTTAATATGTAAAGCCTAATAAGCATATCTTGAGTTGACATTTGTGTATTGATAAAACCATTCACTATTTCTTGAAGCTCGATCTCTCCCCCGGATGAACCATATAGCCCGAGTGGGAATAGCATTTCTCTTCTGTATGTCCATGGAGTTTTGAAAAATCGAAACATCTCAGAAATAGATAGAGAGGTAGGAATTTATCGAACGAACCGCACTAGAAAAAAAAAAAAGACGAAAGTGCGGGTTTTGAATCTTTAGCACAAATCCATACACTCGGAATAGGTCCCACCGGAAATTCCCTCTGCCCCTATCGTACTCCAGCTTGGTAGTTTCCACCACCTGTCCAGGGTTGAGCCCTGGGATTTGATGGTGAACTTAAAAAGCCACCTACAAACGCTTTACGCCCAATCATTCCGGATAACGCTTGGAACAACCTATTCCTCCTGAATACCTCGATTCAGCGCCAAAGAATTTCCTGTCGCTACCATATAGTATTCGTCTCTACTTGGTGATAAATAAAGCATCCGTATTCTTTTTGATCTCTCAGAGATTTCATAAAATTGACTTCCGCGGTAAGATAGAGGATGCAAGCGTTATCCGGAATGATTGGGCGTAAAGCGTCTGTAGGTGGCTTTTTAAGTTCGCCGTCACAGTCCTAAGATCGGGACAAGAAAGGAATTGGGACCAGGATGGAATGTGGGACTGGATTGTCCCGTCCTAGGATATTTAAGTTTTTCTTTTTAATTACTTCATATGTTTTATTGTTTAATTTATAAATATTAAACCTAAATCTTCTACTGTGCATTGCGTTCTTACTCGCTTAGCCTCAATAATCTCGTCGCAGCTCACACCTCTGCCCTAGTTTTCTCGCTCATCGCCAACTCATAGTCTTGCTCTTGGCATTCGGCTCATTCTCCCTGGTCCCATATATAGAAATATATTGCGGAAGCCTCACTCATCTCAATTTTATGCTTGCATCAGAATTCCCTCACAAGATTGGATTGAGGTAATTGCTTCTTTCTTTTTCTTCGTTGGAGCAGCTATTAATTTTTTACATTTGTCCTTTTCCCTTGGGCTCTATACACTGTGGACATCATTTTTTTTTTTCTTTTTCATACATTCTGAAGGTTTGTTCTTCCTCTGCATGTAATATTTTCCTAGTAATTCTTCCTTGGCTATTGGTGTAAATGGCTAAAGGATCTGTATGTCTTTACCCAAGTTCCTAATTGATTTGGGTTTCAGCCTGCTACATGAGTCGATTTGAGCATTTTTTTGTAAATATTGGCTTTGAGTTTTTTTTTTTTTTTTTTAAAAGGGCTTGTTCTAGTACCATCCTAATCTTATTGGGATTAGGACACTTCCAGGACGGGGCATGATATAGGATGAAAATGCCATCTTGTGTGGGGTCTCTCGATCCTGTATTATGAGCACCCCTACCCATAAAAGTTAGGTTTTACTACATCTAGCATGCTATTTTTAAATAATATCACCTCTAGTTTTAGAGACAAGATCAATTATAGAATGAATCTTATATTTAAAACCAACTTTCTTTTAATTATATGAGTCTAGTATTATTACATAAAATAAAAATCAATTGACATATTAATAATATGATTTAACTTAAAATTAAAATAATATATGATGTGAAATTCATAACTTAAGAATATTACACAATTTATAAATTATACATTCAATACAAAATTTATGAAATTTTATAATATTAACTTAGTATAACTTGAGTCCATTAACAATCTAGTTACACCATGCATAAAAACACATACTTCACATCATACATACTTCCTTTTTTCCCCTTTTTAATAAAACCTAAAATCAATATGTATCTAAAAAGATGAGTACATCAAAATGCAATTTTAGTTTCCTTAATCAGCCTCTCCCTCATATAAAAGTGGAAGAGGATGTTCGGCGATACAAAAAGTTGCCAAAAAGACAATAAGAGTACCTTAACTAACTCATTAGTATTGATTAAGAACTTATTTTGAATGACTTATACATAATTTTTTAATCATGATTTACAAAATACGAGGTAAATATATTTAAAAAATTTTGTATTGACCTTATACAAATCAAACGATGGCAAATGGGGCATAACCCTCCCAATGAACATGAGAAACCACACTATCAATCTTTATGCATTAAAAATCTAATTTCATCCACTGCATCTTTAGATGGATAACCTCTAGAGGCAAGTTTATAGCTTCTATACAATCATCAGAGTAACAAAAGATTTTCCCTAATTCCTTTTGAACAGCATAATTTCAAACCTGTTTGAAGTCGAATTACTAGCCACTTCTCCCTCCTACACCCAACCATCCCCCTCTAATTTTATGTGCTTTGCAAAGCAACCAATCTCATTTTTCCTTTAATTTATATATGTATTATTTGATTTTTTTTTTTTTGGTATAAAAGCTGGGTACGATCCGATCAAAGTACAACAATACTAAAACCTAAATAGCTAAACAAGACTGAAATAATAACAACTCTCATCATCATCCATCCCCCAGCAATACACAAGGAGGGGGTTTATTTGATAAAATTGAAATATGGGTCAGGTGTTATCGTTTTTAATCTGTCAAAACAGAATATAGATGTACTAATAAATATTTACCCTCCCGTCTATGGTGGATAGTATCAGAGTAGTAAAGTCCCTGTCGACATAGAGACGACCCAGCGTTGTCCCTTCATTTATACTCAAACGGCCATCTTGAGCTTTATGGATAAGTACGTACGTTGCCCCCATTTTCCTCAGTCACTGTCTCTCTTTCTTTTGCCTTTTCCCCCCTTCCTCGAAACTCATCATTATTCTCGTTACCTCACAAATCATCACTAAATTTCAAACCAAAATCCCATTATTACCAACAAATGCATACTGACAAAGCTCCCATCAGCTGCAAACAGACCCCACTTTTTCCTCCCGAGAAAATTAGACTCTGCCTTTTACTCATCTCCTTCTCTCTCACACGTTTTTTGGTTCTTTAATTATTGTACTTTTACTAATCTTTCTCCCCCAAAAACAAAAAACGGAATAAAGAAAAAAAGTTTATATTCCCAAGCTGCTCTCCTTCCTCAATCCTCACACACCATCAATCCTTCGTAGAATAGTCAGCGGAACAGTCTAACCTCAACCTGCTTGTCATTTTTCTTCCTTCTTTATTCTTTAGCTGCTTCTTCCTCTTGGATCCAATCTCTGCTTTGTTCAGTTTCTCATTCTTCTCTCCCATTAAAAAAATTCCTCTTTTTTCGCTCATGGCACAACTTGTAGCTTTTAGTTTATAGTATTCTAGTGCTATAAATAGAAATAGTGAGCTGAACAAGGAAACAGACCTGGTTACAATGGCTATCGGGTTTCTTTCTCTGTTCGTGCTGTTCTTCTTCGTCTCTGTATCAAGTAAGTCCTGCTTTCAGATTTCTTGTCAAAATCGTTAATCTGGCGATCTGCGTTTGTTCGTTTTGGGTTTATGCATGACCCCTTTTGGTTTTGCAGGTGCAGAATTCTCGAGCATTCCAGGGGTCAACTATGGCCAAGTGGGGAACAATCTGCCATCGCCATTGAAGTCGGTGGAGCTCATCAAATCTCTTAAAGCCAAACGCGTCAAAATCTACGACGCAAATCCAGAAATCCTAAAAGCCCTAAGTAACACAAACCATCAAGTCTCAGTCATGGTCCCCAATCAACTCATCGTTAACATCTCCTCCAACCAAACCCTCGCCGGCGAATGGATCAAAACCAATGTGCTTCCTTTCTACCCTAAAACCCTCATTCGCTACCTCCTCGTTGGCAACGAGGTCATCAGTAGTGGCCCGCCGGAAGTCTGGGCGGCGCTCGTACCGGCGATCCGACGAATCAAGCATTCTCTCAAATGCTTCGGGATTCACAAGGTCAAGGTCGGAACTCCGTCAGCCATGGACGTGTTGGAATCGTCGTTCCCGCCGTCGAACGGAACTTTTCGGAGTGATATTGCCGATCGGATCATCAGACCAATGTTGCAGTTCTTGGATCGGACCAAGTCGTTCTTTTTCCTCGATGTGTATCCGTATTTCGCGTGGATTTCAGATCCTAAAAACATAAATTTGGATTACGCGCTTTTTGAGTCGAAGAACGTAACGGTTACGGATCCCGGCACGGGTTTGGTGTACCACAATATGTTCGACCAGATGGTTGACGCTGTGTATTTCGCGATGAAGCGACTCGGGTATCCGAATATTCGGATCTTCATCGCCGAAACGGGTTGGCCCAATGGAGGGGACGTTGACCAGATTGGCGCTAATATTCACAACGCTGCAATTTACAATCGAAATTTTGTGAAGAAGGTTACGACTAAACCGCCGGTAGGCACGCCGGCTCGACCAGGTTCCATTCTCCCGTCATTCATCTTCGCTTTGTATAATGAGAACCAGAAACCGGGTCCAGGCACGGAGCGCCACTTTGGGCTGTTGTACCCGAACGGGTCACACGTGTACGAGATTGATCTGTCCGGGAAGACGCCGGAGTCGGAGTACAAGCCATTGCCGCCGGCGGAGAACAATGAGCCATACAAAGGGAAGATATGGTGTGTGGTAGCTGAGGGAGCCAATAAGACGGCCCTGCCGGCTGCGTTATCGTACGCTTGCTCGCAGGGCAACAAAACTTGCGATGCGATCCAACCCGGAAAGCCGTGTTTCAAACCCGATTCGTTGGTTTCTCATGCCAGTTATGCCTTTAGCTCATACTGGGCCCAGTTCAGGGCATCAGGTGGGACCTGCTACTTCAACGGCCTTGCCACGCAAACGACGAAGGATCCAGGTGAGTGTCAATTTGAATTAATCATTAATCATTAATCATTAATCGGTTTTTTCAAAACAATTATTTTCCTCATTTAGTCAATATTCAATCTTGTATAGAAAATAATAATTTGGTCGGTTATTTATTTATTTTTTAATAAAAATGATTGCACTAACATTTTTTTCCCATTTGAAATTTATTGTGGAAGGTCATGGATTGTGCAAATATCCAAGTGTGACGCTGAAATAGGCAAGTGGGAATATTTTTTTTTTTTGTTGGGGCAAGTGGGAGTTTCATTACTCAACAATTGAATAATTATTGGTGGAATATTTATGGAAGGAATCATTCAATTCCATTATGATTCATATGGTATGGTCAAATTTCAGATGGGACGCCACAAAAAAAAAAAAAGGATTATCCATTCGATATTTTCAAATTTCAGATGGGACTTAAAGGGGGAAAAAAGAGGCTTTATTTTGTTAGAGATCCGTGATTCACTAATTGTTGATTTATTACTTTTGGTGAATGTATGTTTCTCCTTTGGGTAGCATTATGTTATTAAGTTTTCTTTTCACGTTATTTTTCCGTCAATTATTGTTCATGCACAATAATAATAAATCCTTGGCCACAAGTCTATCTTTTTCTACTCCATTTATGATTGACGTTATTTATTGCCCTCCGCTCCCATGTTTTTAAATACACACACTCCTTTTGCTTCTTATTATAGGCTGCTTCCTATGGTACAAGCTGTTCTTGATTTTTTTTTTTTTTTTTGTGTGTCATTTGACAAATTTTAAAGAGTATGAAATAATTAAATATATTATATATAGACACAAATTTAATAAGGATGATGGGAAAAATAAATATTATTATAACAGTGGGGTTTAGCATAATTAATATGAATAGAATTGAAAATCACTTTAATTTTGATGAAAAGTTGGTGCCTTCGTCTGATATATTGGGCTTTTTTACCAAAATACGATAAACAGTAAAACTTTTTACCGAAATGCTACACTTTTAAAACTATTTACCAATATGCTACACTTAAAATCGTTCTTGGCAAGAATGATTTTGAAATTATACACAAGTCGTTCTTTGCGTGAACGATTTCACTTTTAAATTTTTTTAAATCAAAAAGTGAAATCGTTCTTGGCGTGAACGATTTTAGAAATCGTTCACGCCAAGAACGATTTCACTCTTGCATGCAAAAATAAGAATCCCTGATGATGCTCCGGTAAGGCTATAACATATATAGTAAATTTTACTTCATCTGACTTATATTGGATTAAAATTTGAAAACCCCAGTTTTTTTTAATTTTTTTTCAAATAGAGCTTGATGAAATTTTCTATCATTTCCTCTTCTTTTTATCTATCTCATACCAAACAGTACGTAACAAAAAAAGTTATGTTTTGATTGTAAATTTTTAATTGTAGCAATTAAGTTGTAAGACTACATTATTATTACAGGCATAAAAGGCCCATGCCCAATACTTGATTTCTTGTCAAACCGAACAAATACCACACGACAGGCTTTTTTACCAAAATACTACAAATTGTAAAATTATACATCCATATGCTGCACTTTTAAAAGTATTTACTAATATATTACACTTAAAATCGGTCTTCAGGTGAATAATTTTTAAAGTCATTTATCTGGTGAACGACTTCTTCATAATCTGTCCTTGATGTGCATGAGGTGAATGAAAATCATTCTTCTAGTGAACAACTTCAAAACTTCATCTGCTGTTGAATGACTTCTCCCCTTCTCTCCTGATTAAAATGATTAGTATAATGATTTATCAATCATTTGAATGACAAAATCATGACTATATAATGAGAGAAAAATGTTATAATGATGTTAAAACTAATTGTGAAATAAGTATAAGATTAAAAATAAAAAGTAATAAATAAAGTTTAAGTTTATAAAGAAAAAATTATCCACCTTACTGATAGTGACTTCCAGTACCACATCTTGGCCTTCTTCTCATACGTTGTGGGCGTTGTTGTTGTATGTCAATTTCTTGAGCTTCAAATGTCTCATTTGTTTGTGTAGTTGGCGTGTTCAAATCAAACCAGGGTGATTCATTTAAATGTATAGATTGTCGATGAGTGACAAATGCTTCATTTGATGGTCCACCATGTTCAAAAGTAGAAGCATTGTATTCAGCTGAAAATAATGCAGGATTATCTAATAAAGTCATGAATGGTTGAAATTGAGAAGGATTGGTTGAGTTGGAAGGGAATGATGATGAGGGTGCCATGTAATGAGACTCAAGTTGTGTAGGATCGATAGAGATGAAGGGGGATGATGGTGACGGTGATATGTCAGAAGCCTGAGTAAAAATTGGAGGTTCCTGTTCCCTTGCATTTTCGTTTTCAATTATAGGTTGGGTAGACAAGTAACCACCCCGTCGCTTGCTTGGTCTATCACGAGGAATTTGTGGCCGAGGCAACTCAATTGTTGGTGGAGCAGGCTGAGGGTTTACATTAAAACGTTGTTCTCTAAGTGTAAGTAAAATGTTACGCTGGTCGCGAGCAACCCTATCTCGATAATCAACACAACTAGGGCATGTTGAACGAGAATTAATTGGCAGCAATTCAGACGTAGGGGGTGAAGAGGAAAAAGTGAAATCGTTCTTGGCGTGAACGATTTTTGAAATTGTTCACGCCAAGAACGATTTCACTTTTTCATTTAAAATTAAAAAAAAAAAGTGAAATCGTTCACGCCAAGAACGACTTGTATGTAATTTGAAAATCGATCTTGCCAAGAACAATTTTAAGTGTAGTATATTGGTAAATAGTTTTAAAAGTGCAGTATTTTGGTAAAAACTTTTACTGTTTATCGTATTTCGGTAAAAAAGCCGATATATTGATACGAATGAATTGTTTAAATGACTTATATTTTGTGATTCAAAATAATATAGAATTGAGCATAATAGAAAGAATTAATTCTTTATAATGTACTCCTATGATCCTATTTATATAGTAGAGAGAAAAGATTTTTTTTGTTTTATTTATAAATTATTTTATTAAATTTTTATCATGAATGTACTATATTATTTTTAGTGTAGATAGTTATATTTTTTAAAAAGTGTATTTATTAAACAGAGATAAAATTTGAAAGTTGCTAATAAAAAGTTAACTCATTTTAAAGTTTTTCTTAATTTATATAAAATATATTAAAAGTGTCTTATAAATAAGATCGCATATAAAGAATTAATATTTAAATTTTTATTATGGGAAGTTTTCAATTTTGCATATTTAGTAAAAATTTTAGTTCTTGTTTTTTAGGGAGGAAAAAATTCTCTCTCTTCATGACTTCCTAAAAGGAGAAATGAGTAAATGACCCAACGCCACGTGTTTGTCTTTCCTCGACATATGGCAACGACTACTTGCCTAACGGCTGTTTGTCACATTTTCCAGCTGGCCCATATATCTTGCTTTCCGGTTTTCATTGTGTTTTATTTTTTTATGTCAATATATCATTATTTCAAAAAATAAAAATACTTGATCAAAATTTCTTTATTAAAAAATTAATTACCCCTCTGGTTATAAATATAAGGATTTTATATTTAGGACCAGAAGAGTATATAAAAACTGAAGTAGCTATCAATCAAAATCTTCAAATAGAACTCATTTTTAGTAAGCATAACTTTTGTGGGCTACATATAATTATATTTTATTTTGTATATTGCATAAAATTGAAAAAGATTTGCACGTAGAGTCTTATCACTTCTTTTTAAGTTTTGACTTATATTCCTTTGGTCCTATTTATAGGATAAAAGAAGAATTTTTTAATTCTTTTTATAAGTTACTTTATTAAATTTTTATCATAAATGTGCTATATTGTTCTTAATTTAGATAGTTATTTTTTTAAAGATGTATATATTAAATAGGGATAAAGTTGAAAAGTTGTTATATTTTAATGAAAAGTTAATATAGTATAAGATTTTTCTTAGTTATATAAAACATATTAGAAGTGCTTTATAAATAGGATCGGGGGTATACATCTATCTCTTTTACTAATGTTATTTCTTTTTTTCCCCTCTCAAACGAAAAGACCAATTAATTGAAAATACTTCAATACCTGTACATCCATGGTTTACGCGAATTAATTATTCTTAACTTAAATACATAACTTCAAACAAGAAATACGAAATTGAGGTAGTAAAATTGTATAAACTAAAATAAACAATTAACAATCTATTTTTATAAATTTAATATTTTTTCATACTTTATGAGATATTTAATTTCACTGTTTAATAATGCATGGTCTTCCGTTCTTTAATCAACCAGTCCAAAAAAAAATTCTTTAGAAAAATTAAAACTAAAAAAATAGAATGAAATAGATGATTCTACCGATACAATATCGTTTTAGTATTCTTAGGCAAAAAAAATTACTAGTAATGATAATCAAAATATAATAAATTATATACATTATATTATTTTTTTTAATTTTTCCAAAGGAGAATAAGTGTGCAAATTGCTTTGCATTATAATCTAATGACATGTAAACTTTCTTATAAAGCAGAAGTGGTGGGTTCCATCCCATATGTTACCTTAAGCTTAGTACCTACCTCTCTTACTCGAAAAGGGTAAAGGCACATTCAAGATTAAGATATTATGTGCATTATAAATAAAAGGAAAAATAATACCGAGTTTCTATAGAAAACAAAATACCATAAAATTGTAACATTCTAATTTTTTATCTCTAAGAATTAAGTAAATATATGAGAAAATATTTATTAATATCGCTTTAACACAGGTTAAATATATATGAACAATTAAAATATTTACGATCATATATATATATGCATATGTATAACTATGTATATGCTGAGTCCAAAAAAAAAACTATGTATATATGAATCAATGAATAAAATAAAAAGGTTTAGAAGTCTTATATTGATTAATGATAGAAAGATGGGGTTCTATAAGCCTATAAATAGGTAGTAGAGGAGAGTTAAAAATAAGTTAAATAATTTTTGCACAAAACTAAGACAGTTTTAGTAAAGTATTGTGTGAGAATTCGTAAACCATTCAATCTAGCTGAAATTTGGTTTGCCAGTTTGACATATCTAACTTGTCAATTTCAACAGTTGAATTATTGATCTGATCTATGAGGTATGAGTTATTAAGTATGCATTAAACTCTTTTTTTTAAAAAAAAGATTTTGTGGATAGAACCTTGAGTAATAAATTATCGTTTTTAAATTTTTCACCGTTAGATCAAGCCAATATTTGGAGAATAGACTCAAGAAATCTAATACGTTTATTTTAATGGTTAGATTGATAATTAAACCTCTTTAGTGAGAATAAGTTGTTTGAAAATAAAACATAGGTTATAAATTGAGGGTTTTCTACTTAGATTATAAATCAATTATAATTGATAATTTTAATGACATAATCTAGTAATTTAAAGATAATATAAGCTAAAGAAACTTAGAAATTAAATCCAAATCACGGTATTCTATTCTTACTCCAAACCTTAAACAAAATGTACGAGTTAGAATTCTAAATAACAATTAGGAAATCTTAGAGAGGGAGTTATGGGTTGAAATTTAATATGTAGCTTACCCATAAGATATTATAGTAACGTATATTTTTTGTCTGTAGATATGAAATTTGGTTTGACGACACCTAGTTT